GCTTTGTGACTGTGGATGATTCGGGTCCCTTCTCTGGGCTTCATTTTATTCATTTAGTAAAGCGGGGTGGGGAGAGGGGAGATACTAGATGACTTTTTTTTCCCCATTTTTTTTTTTATTGTGGTAAAAAACCATAAAATGTACCATCATAACCATTTTTAAGTGTGCAGTTCCGTAGTGTTAAGTATATTTACATCATTGTGAAACAGATTTTTCATCTGGCAAAACTGAAACTATACCCATTAAACAACAACTCCCTGGGATGCCTGGGTGGCTCAGTTGGTTAAGCGTCTTCCTTCGGCTCAGGTCGTGATCCCAGGGTCCTGGGATCGAGCCCTGTGTCGGGCTCCCTGCTCCATGGGAAGCCTGCTTCTCCCTCTCCCACTCCCCCTGCTTGTGTTCCCGCTCTCGCTGTGTCTCTGTGAAATAAGTAAAATCTTAAAAAAAAAAAGTAGGATTGCTGGATCATATGGTAGGTCTCTTCTTAATTTTTTGAGGAACCACCCTACCTTTCCTCCCCGTGGCTGCGCCAGGTTACGTTCCCACAGGCAGCGCAGGCGAGTTCCAGTTTCTCTGCACCCTCACTACCACCACTTCCTGTTTTTGTTATGTTAGGAGGAGCCAGCTTAATGGGCAGGAGGCTGTAACCCCTTGTGATTGTGATTTGCATTTCTCGGATGATTACTGATGTGGAGCATCTTTTCATTTGCTTATGGCCGTTTGTATATCATCTTTGGAAACATGTCTATCCAAGTCCTTTGCCCATTTTTTAACAGGGGTTACTTAATTTTGTTGTTGTTGTTGAGTTATATACTAGATGACTATTGACTCTCCATCTTAGACATTTATAATTCTAGATTCTTAGTGTCCTTAAGCAATGTTTTCATCTCTTCTTCCTTTCAAGGGACAGATAAGGGGCGCCTGGGTAGCTCAGTTGGTTAGGCCTCTGATTTCAGCTCAGGTCATGATTTCATGGTTGTGGGATGGAGCCCTGCATTGGGCTCCATGCTCAGCCGGGAGTCTGCTTGGGATTCTCTCCCTCTGCCCTCCTTCCTCTCTCTCTCTCTCTCAAATAAATAAATAAATCTCAAAAAAAAAAGACAGATAATGATTAATTATCATAGATAGGTTTGTAAGAATTTGAAACTTATCAGCGACTCTGACAGACTTTTTTTTTTTGCATGCTGGGTTTTTGCTTCATGTAAGTGGTAGGAAGCAGAGATGTGTTATTCAGGGTTTGGTATACCCAGAGGTCTGTCACTTGAGGGCAAGTGTGGAGTAGGAATCTTTCCTTCTAAAGCTAATGCTTTTTCTGTAACTATATGCTGATCAATTTTCTTTTTTTTTTTTAAAGATTTTATTTATTTATTCATGAGAGACAGAGAGAGAGAGGCAGAGGGAGAAGCAGGCTCCCAGGGAGCAGGGAGCCCGATGCGGGACTCAATCCCAGGACCCTGGGATCATGACCTGAGCCGAAGGCAGATGCTTAACCATCTGAGCCACCCAGGTGCCCGCTGATCAATTTTCTAAGTACGTGTATTAATGTATTTCTCATAGCAACGAACTTATGAGGTATGTGCGAGCATTATCCTCACTTACAATGATGAAACTGAGGCACAGAGAGAGCAAGTACCTCACCTCAGATCACGTGGCTATTAAGCTGAGGCCCAAGGTCTCTCTGCTTCCTGTTCCTGTCATGCTTAGCTGCCGCCTTGGACACAGATCTCCTTAGTTTTTATCCTGTTATTTAGATCATGCCAGAATGCTTTCTTTCTCTCCCCCCTTCCTCTCTCCCTTCACCTTTCTACCATGCCCTCTGAAACTCTGTTCCGTGATAAGCAGAATCCCTATACCCTTAACATTTCTACTAAATGTTTTTCTGTTTTCTGCCATCAACTGCAACAGTCTCTTCTGAGCTCCCTGCTTCCCTTTTATCCTGCTCAAAGGCAGGGGGCTCGCTCTCTCCTGCCCTCTCTTCTGCCCCTCAGGCTGGGAGTTGGGAATCAGTGTCTCCCTTGCTCTCCAAAGCTGTTGCCTGGCTACCATTCTACCCTTGGCTTGAAGCCCAGTGTTATTTACTTGGCCTCTCCTCTGGCATGCTGGCCTTTCAGTAGTCCTGCCCTGCTGTGTCATCACTTGGGACTGCCCCAACCCCAAATCTCAAACTCCAGTGTCCTTCTAGCTCATTCATGCCCTCACTCGCATTAGTTAGTTCATGGAGATGTCCAGAGCTTAGATTCTTCCATGTCCACCCAGTCTGTATCCCTGGCCTGGCTTAGCCTTCATCCCCACTTAACCCATACCCTTGGGCAATTGTCTGAACTGTTTCGCATTAACATCCTTAACAGTATGTATGGCCATCCCCTCTTCTTTCCTCCTGCTTTGGAGAACGAATATCCTTCCTTCCTCCAATTAATAATTCAACCTATGCCCCCATCCCCCTTCTCTGGGCTCCTGCTCTGTCCATCATTTCCTGCACACCCTACATGCTCACCCTCTTCCTATCTCCCTGTGAATATGCTCTCCTCTCTCCATTCTCCAGTCTCCCCTTGGCCCTGTCCCCATACCGCAGCTCTGTCCAGTCTCACTCCTTCCCTTCTCCAAACTTCTGGGGAGAGTCCCTAGTTATTCATCTCTTTTTTTACCTCTCAGTCCATCAAAATTTGGCTTCTGATCACAAGTTATTTGGGTACATGTGAGGCTGGGTTAGAAATTCAAAATTGCAAATGGAAGATTACTTCCACTGACTGAATGGAAGGGAAGGCCGAGCTATGTGTTAAGGATGCAGGGCCGGGAGATGGGTGAACTTGAGGAGCATGGCAGCGCTGCTTCTGTCCGAGGGGGAAAGTGAGTGGGAAAGGATTGTTAAGGGCCACTCTATGCATCATAATTGAAGGTTAACTTGCACAGTGCCCGGAACATAGAAGATATTCAGTAAAGGCATTTCTCCCTCCTTTGTCCCCTCTCTTCAGAGCTCAGTTTTCTTTTTTGTACAGCGTGGGGTTGGACCCAGTGACCCATCAGACCCCTTCCAGCTCTAACGGTCTACAACAGACTTTCTCCTAGCAATGTCTTGAGTTTGTAACCGCCTTGGAGACAAGCCTTTCAAAAACTGCTTACAAAAAGGCCTGTGTTCTTTCCACAGGGCATTCTAAACAAATATCAACAAAAAATGTTTTTAGGAGACATTGAAGTGCATTGCATAATAGCCTCTTCCTCATTGTGCCCCTCCTTGAGTAATCTGAGCCATTGTGTGTGTGGTTGGTGGTGGTGGGAAGGATGAAAACAGTGGTATGATTTCTATCCAAGTTAGTATATGTGCATTTCAAAGGGATTTTTAGGCTTAACACATCAACCTGAAGGAGAATCTATGATTTGGTCAAATTTTGAACTAAATAAAGAAAGGCTGATGGTTTTGAGACAGTTGGGGGCTTTTGGGAACAGAGCTGGACACAAAGAATATGAAAGGAATGCAGAGTTCAATCAGGCAGTAAAGAGATTAGTTGAATCCAGCCTAGGCTAGGGGGTTGCTGAATTCCATCTACCCAAATTAAGCTTCTCTAAAAAGGACCAGTATGTTTGCTATTTCAAGAGAATGTAACAAATTCTGACCCTAAAAGATTGCCTTTGTGATTTCAATATAAAATGGGTAACATTGTAATCTTGAGATTCTAAGTTGAAAGGTATAAGATGTTGATTCAGTTTATAAACAACAGAACTGGAATGCTTTAGAGGACTCTGATTTTTTTTTAACATTTATTTGATTACAGTTGCAATAAGAGAGCTTAAATGCTGGGAATTTTTTTTCTTTATTTTTAATTTTTTAATTTGAGTATAGTTTCAGATGTAACATTAGTTTCAGATGTAAGATGTAGTGAGTCAAAGTCTCTGTACATTATGCTATGCTCACCACAGTGTAGCTAGGGAAGTTTTTGCTTGTTATGGTTGTAAATTTGTCCTCTAAGACATTGGAAGCACGTAAAAATAAATTTGAGTACATTACTTTTATAAATGCAGTTTAAAATTAAGATTTAATTTATTAAATGTGTAGATGAAACTGGTTATTTGAGCAGTTTAATCTGTCAACTGGAGTTTCTGGAAACTTAGAAAAACACTTGAAAATGATTTTCTTATTTTACTAGTTTTATAAATAGAGTTGTAGTTTGAACTGAAAGCAACGAAACCCAGGTTTTTAAATGTGTAACTTGGGTAACTTGAATATTAATTGAGGAGTCAAGTAACTAAAAATCCTCCCTATGGAAAAGGCACCTATTAGAAATAGGAGAAGCCAAGACAGGAAGGATGAAAATATCCACAGTGTATGGGCAAGGTGAGCTGTCTGGGGCTGAAGGGAGGTGGCTATCCCAGGGATGTGATGGCAGAGATAATGGGGGATGCTGGAGAGCACGGAGTGTACTCAGTGTACTGAGGATTGTGACCTAAAATATTTTCTCTTAGATTTTTATAATGTGAACGCTTTTAGGAACACTCAAGTTTCTACCTTTAACTTTGCATGTCCTTATTTACAAAGAACAGATCAGGATTAAACCAGAACAAGATAACAACCCTCAAAATTGGATGACACATTAACCCAACGGGGAGTATTGATTGGTTTTTCAGCAGTTGAAATGCAATGTTACATCACGGTCAGATGATTTTTCTTATTTTGACTCTTCTAGAAACTGGGGACCAAAAATAGGTAAAGGAGAAATGAGTAAAAGCTCTTAAATAACCATCCAATAAAGTCAAATCCTTATTTATTTCTGACTTTCTTGATTGACTTGGACCAAATGATGAAGCAGCAGAAGGAATTGTCTTTGATATGCTCAGGTTTTCCATTCTCCTTTCCCACTAAAGTATATGCCTTTGTCTTCTTCACTCATCAATTTCCACTCTCAGGGAGAATCTGCTGTTGGTCAGCATAGTAATGTGAATTTAAGTTCAAGGGGTGTTTTTTTTCTCTAAATCTTATCTTCTTACATGCTTCCAATGTCTTACAGGACAAGGCCATCCCTATAGGGGTGAATCCGCCTTCACCAAGAGTGCCTTCAAGAGGCTGAGGTCCAGGTAGGAGAGCACATAACGTTTACCTCTTGAGAGATTTTTGTACCAGAAGGGGACTCCTATAATATTTACTCTGGGACTGTCCTGGTAGATGGAATGGAGGGTGGTCCCATGTATATAGGCCAGTGGCTCCTAAACCCAGCTAATAATCATCATAATCACTTAAAGAGATGTTTTAAAGAAGCTTTTAGGCCTGGCATTTCACATTCGGATTCTGACTCAGTTGCTCTGGGGTGCTGTTCTTGGTCAGCTCCACTGGGGGAAGCGGTTGGAAGACCTGTGATGAGTTCACTATCCTGTAATGATTACTTAACAAAGCAGGTGTATACTCCATTTACTTCTTTTATTATAACAACACGGTTATGATTTAGGGACACAGATTTCCTCCACTCTTACTTAAAAGCCCTAACTACTGCAATTTCTAATGATTTCTAAGGAGTTTCTAGCTTGCTTTTTGCTCTATGTATGCTCTCTGAGCTTTCTCTTCCTGAGTTTCTCTGTAACACTCTCATTGGCTGCCTTGAACTTTTTTTTTTTAAAATATATATATATATCTGTCCATTTTGTTTTGATATTCTTCAGAGTAAGTAAATCTGAATACATCCCCATTAGTTATGGAGAACAAGGTACTAATAATCTATATTTCCCTCCTAGATGAAGTGATAGGAGAACGATATGCCAGACAGCAGACTGAGAATGTTACATATATCCCACTTCATTTCATCCTCCTCACAATCCTGGGAGGCAGGGGCTTGACTCAGACACATTAAGACTACTGCCCCAAATGGCTCTGCTCAGAACCAACTGATTTTAGTTTTCTTAATCACCAGCCAACACTGATTAAGTACCTAGCACAGGCAGAGCCCTGAGACCCGTCTAGACTGTCCTGAGCTTGCTAATTAGATCATGCTGCCCTTTCTTTGGTATCCCGTGGCTTGTGGTATCGATTAAAACCAACACATTAAAAATAAACCTTAAAAACTTTAGAACTTTGCCTTGCTTTAAAAAAAAAAAAAAAGGTATTCTCTCCAATCCCACAAGTGGTACAACTGGAACAATTAAAAAAAAAAAGCACAAAGAAGGATCTAAAAATCACCAGTAATTCTACCAATCAGAGAAAATCACTGCTAATTTTTGAATGTATCTCTGACCTGCTTTTTGCTAAGCATACATCATACCCACACTTACAGCACCCTTGTACTTTAAAAACAAATCTGGCCATTCCAGGTTTATTTATCGTTTCCTACTTTTCCACAGAAGTGGTAGCATGTAAGCTGGCTGGGTGGACCGGGGTTCCATTATTTAACGGAGCATAACTTATTTACTTAATTAATCTTTGGTTGTTGATTGCTTGAAATGTTTCCATTCCCACTTTTAAAAACAAGCCTGTGTTATCTAGCCCCACTGTCTGTTAAATATCAAGATTATAGGCAAAGAGTTTGAAACATGCAAGAAATCAGAGTATATGTAATCATAATCTCATCCCAAGTAGTCTGCTAGATGATGAACTGCATCCCACTAGGAGATGATTGAGGAAATAGCAACAAAACTGCTGCTGATGAGCACTGACTATATTTAACTCGAGGTCTAAGATTGGAACAAAGACGGGAACAAAGTTGGAAGAATAGCCTGTAAATATTGCACATTTTTCTAAATTAGAAATAGCACAACTGAAAATATTGGAGAAGGGAAAGGGAGAAAGGGAAGTAACATAAAACCACTGATTGGCATGTAGGTAATAAGTGGGAGTCGAAAGATACTAGTTAAAGATCTAAACCAATTTTAGAAGCCCATGTAAGGAAAAGGGGAATTATGACCATTAAAAAATACAAAGTAGTAGTATAAAGGTAACCACCACAGAAAAATAGAAACCTTCTTAAATATCAAAATAAAAAGTAATAATAAAAGAGAGAGATTTGCAAAAATAAAAGTATTAAGGATAATCTATAAATTCATAAAAATAGCCACCTAAGAGGGTTGGAGGCAACTGGGGTAGAAAGGATAGGAATGGGAATAAGATTTCTCTGAGTTTATATTTTTATACAGTTTTGACTTTTGAACCATGTAAAAACTACACATTTAAAAAATAAAGCTAATTCCAAAGAATAAATAGGGCAAGCATTAAAACTGAATATAAACAGAAACAAATGAACTTAACTGCATATCAAATGATATCTCAAGTATAACAGAAAAAAAAAGGAATTAATTCAGGCACATTGTTAATACACTTTTGTAGAAAATATTCTTTGAACAGAAAGAACTTTAAAAAATATTTCTTAGATTTATTTGTGGTGGTATTGGTAAATAATATTGAGATTATTTTGAGCATATTGAAGCATATAGCAAATGAGAAAATATCTTAAACTTTTTAGAAACTGAGGTTCTCAATGTAGGAGAAGATAAAAATATAAAATAGGAGAAAGAGAGGAAGATTTGTATGATATTGGATTTGAATTGGAAGTATCAGTAAGAACTCATGATTTCTTGAACAAATATATTCCTTAGTTCTGTGTACTGAAAGGTCTGTTTACATTACATCCCACTAGCAATGAGCACACCTAGGAGATAGATCTTGGTTTCTAAATATCACTTTTTATTGAAAAGAACAGGGCTCCTTGGAGAAATAGTTGATTCTAGGGTCTGAGACAGAAAAAAAAGTACAAGGTGGCCTAGATTAACTTGTGCTAGAAAATAAATGCTCAAAGACCAATGGGACAATATCAAAATGATACAGAAACTAGATTATACTGGCTCCCTTTGGACCAATTTGGGTCAATTTGAGCATCTAAAAGAATAATGATGGTAATGGGGGAAAAGAAAACAAAAGAATGCCAGCTGATAAAAAGAAGAATGGAAATAGAAAATTTTCAAACATGATACCACCACAGTGCATATACCTTGACAGGATTCTAGGGTTTAAAAAAATATTTTATAAAGACCACGTCAGCGATAAAATCTGAATTCACTTAACTAAGAAAGTAGATCAAGGGAAGCCAGCTCAACTTCTTAGGCCAAATTTGATGAGAAGTGTTCAAGGTAAAAGCACCTACTCAGACATGCAACCAGTTCAGCATCCACAAGGCAGTAATGAGGAGTCATTTTATAGGAGTAGGGACAATCACTGCCAAGACACACTGAAAATGTTGTTTCTTAAGCCCTGGGCAGCAGGGAGATTTCAGTCTACAATGTGAAAATCATTGAGCTGTGATTCCTTTCCTAAGGGAACCCGAGAAGACTGAACACAGGTGGGACTACACCTGGGAAAAAAAATCAAAAAGCGGCAAGGAGGATGCAAAGGACCCATGGGAGAAGGTCTCCAAGTGTCTTGGGCTTTAAGTAAGACCAAGGAATAAGAAAACCAGAAAGAAGCAGGTCTTCCTTAGCACCCATGTGTTCATGACTGGCTAACTTTGGCCAACATAAGAGAGATCATCACTGCAGGAGAGAAAAACATAAAAATTCTCAACGATCTCCCTGCCTACTCTGCTCCTGCCCATCTCCCACGGCCCCTCATGTACAGCCAGTGCTGCTTTTCCGTTCACGCTGAAACTGGGGGTTTTGGAAGAGTGTCATCTGGTTTCGTTCAGGCACTGTTTTTCAGTGACTATGTCAACGTGACATCAACATGTTCTGCCTAATAGCTATGGGGTACAAAGTGAGGAAAACACATGCATATTGGGAAACAATTTTGCCACAAAACCGAAGTATGAAGTTCACGTGAGTACTCACTGATAAAGGTGATTTTGAAAAGCTGTTTTTACCTTACAGATACATTGCCTTAGGCAGACCCAAAAATGTTGCATGGAGAAACTCTTTGGGCCACAAGGGCACTACTGATACCCCCAAATATTCCCATCTTTCATTTGAGTGGTCTTGCCTCATTGTACTAGAGGTTGTTTCCTATCTCATCATTCCTGTTGTTGGGTGGGGGGGAGAGGTCGGGGGGAAGGATTTGTACTCTAAGGATGTTTGTGGTCTGGCAGTGAGGTCTTCATAGGAGCTTTGGTGTCCCTGCAGATTCAAGGTTGGAGTGGTAAGGAAATCAGCCTGAAGTAGTGCTGATCTCAAACTCTCCAAACTATTTGGCAGCATGCAGATGTTCTCTCTTTATCTGAGCTCTCTAAATTCTCAGCTTTCCTGGAGTTGTCAGAACATGGGGTATTGTCATCAGTCACCTCAACAGCAAGGCTGGAGACAAATTTATTTGGATTCGAGATTCTGGCTGAAATGAACAAAAACCAATTAAACTTCTGTAGAATTAGAAAGAAAAAAGGAGGTAAAAGAGAGAGGGAGGGAAGGAAAAAGGAAAAGAAAGAAGGAATTTTATGAAGACACAGAAGTTTCTCACAGAGACCAAGGCCACATTGAAACTTGACCCTCAGGAAGAACTTGGGATCCAGGAGTTGAGAAGCCAGGGAGCTCACTCTTTGTCTCTCACTGGCTTCATTCTTTTTCAGTAGAACATGCTTCTGAGTTTGCATTTTAAAAGTATACCCACCTTTTAAGAAATTATCAGCATGTGTTCTTCTTCTGGCCCAATCAATGATGGTTAGAGAGGAGGATACATATTGCAAATATAACCTCAATGCTCAGTGCCCAAAGAGTAAGAAGGGCAGAAATATTAAAAGTTACTCACTACTCATCTTGTGCAGTGTTATATCTGGATGTGCTCACCTGCCATTCTAGGCCATCCTTTTTCATTTGCCAACTCTGTATTAAGTACCTATGATAAGCATGGTTATGAGTTAGATGCCATAAAGACACAAAGAAGGACCAAACATGTCTCATCAACTTGGGAAAACAGGACATTTATAAATTTAATTTTTTTCATTTTGAACAATTTAAAATTTTAAATAAATGACACATTTAGAAATTGAAATAGAAATTTAAAATAGAAGTTTTATTAATATATTTACAAACCAATATATTACTATTAATATGTTGTGTTAATACAATAATTCTATATTAATTATATTAATAAAACAAATATCAACAAAATTAAAATAGAAGTTAAATTGCACTCCAATGTGTTCAATAGAAATGACTATAGTAAAAATCTAACACAAGTTGGTTGCAGAGAATGAGATCAGAGGACAACAGTCTGTCTTAGGAGCCATCTGCTTAGCCTTTCTTTCAATTGAGGAATCCCTTCTACAATATCTGTGTCAGATATGGGTCAGCCAACCTCTGCTTGAATGAGGCAGAGTCCTTTGCATTGTTGCACAGTGTTAATTATTAGACTGTTCTTTCTTATAATAAAGCAAAATGAGCCTCTTCGTGATTTTTGATCATTGATTCTACCTCTGAGCATCCTTTACATGTGACAGCCTAGCCTATATTTGAGGGTTTATGACGGCTTCCTCTCTCCTCTAAGCCAAAGAGTCAACTATCCTCCACTCTAAACCTTCCCATTTTCCTCAGTGGCTACTTAAAAGACCGAACTTTTAGAAGTTCCTCTTGAACCTTGTTCCCCTCCCGTTTTATTTACATCCATCTTAAATTAGTGAGCCAGACAAAGACATCAGATAGAGCCTGGCCTGTGTAGACAATAGCTTTTGTTTGATGGTGGGGCTGGGGCTTCCAGAAAATCAGGGCTTTTTAAAAAAATCAGACCTCTGCCTAAGTGATAGCTAATCACGTTCTCTCTCTCTCTCTCTCTCAAAATGTGGTTCATAGATCCCCTGTATCAAATTAACTGAGATTGTTAAAAATAAAGAATGAGGGCTCCTACCCTAGACAACTGGATCAGAATCTCTGGGTGTGGAGTCCAGAAATCCTCATTTTCACTAACTCTCTTGATGTTTTCCATACATTGACATTTCAGAACCATCAATATGGTGATTAAGAACACAGGATTTCCCAACTTCTAGCTATGTGACTGTGGGCAATTTACTTACTTGACTTCTCTGAGCCTTAGTTTATCATCTATAAAATAAACATAATAACTCATTAGAAGATGATTTATTAAAATGATAATGTATGGGCGCCTGGGTGGCTCAGTCGTTAAGCGTCTGCTTTCGGCTCAGGTCATGATCCCAGGGTCCTGGGATCGAGTCCCACATCGGGCTCCCTGCTCAGTGGGAGGCCTGCTTCTCCCTCTCCCACTCCCCCTGCTTGTGTTCCCTCTCTCGCTGTGTCTCTCTCTGTCAAATAAATAAATAAAATCTTTAAAAAAAAAAGAAGAAGAAGAAGAAGAAGAAGGTAGCGGGAGGGGAAGAATGAGGCGGGGAAATCGGAGGGGTAGACGAACCATGAGAGACGATGGACTCTGAAAAACAAACAGGGTTCTAGAGGGGAGAGGGGTGGGAGGATGGGTTAGCCTGGTGGTGGGTATTGAGGAGGGCACATTCTGCATGGAGCACTGGGTGTTGTGCACAAACAATGAATCATGGAACACTTCATCTAAAACTAATGTTGTAATGTATGGGGATTAACATAAGAATAAAAAAAATGAAAATAAAATAAAATAAAATAAAATCTTTAAAAAAAAATGATAATGTATGCATAGCAAACACTGTTGATTATCTATATAATTGCCATTTCCCAGCCCAATCCTTCTCTTTGCCTGTGGAAAGGTTTGTTTGGGAAGGTGGTCACACTATTCCACGTGTTCGAGGAAGGTGAGCCAGGGGTGAATTATGATTTTTCTAAGATGGTATTGGCAGCCTCATTCCCCTTGCCTTTGATTTAGGTATGGGTAAGTGATTTCATCCTAGACAATAAGATGTGAGGGAAATTGTAGGGACCTTCTGGGTAGGGTTTCCCTAAACAATAGAAAGACATAGGAGTGCTTTTTTCTATATGTGGAGTGGCCCCTGGAATCATTGTAGCCATTGTGCAACCACAAGGAGAGATGTTGCCCACTCTGCCAAGAATGGCAGAGTTGGAGGATGGATCTTGCATGATGTTGTTATGCTGCTTAATCAGCTAAACCTGGAACCAGCCACTTCACTAACAATGGCTATAAGATAGAAAACTCCTACTGCTTAAGCTCTTTTAATTGGGTACTCTAACTTATGGCTGAAAACATTCTAATGGACGTGGTGTGTAATGCCCTTGGCATAATCCCTAAAATATAGTATTTGCACAATAAATGGCAATCATTATTTTATTATTATTAAAGAAATATTGAACTTCTTGTCCATTACATTTAGGGCAGGGATTATAGCACCAATTCTATTCTAAGACACATCTGCTCAAAAATATTTGCTGATGGGCGCCTGGGTGGCTCAGTCGTTAAGCGTCTGCCTTCGGCTCAGGTCATGCTCCCAGGGTCCTGGGATCGAGTCCCACATCGGGCTCCCTCCTCGGGGGGAGGCCTGCTTCTCCCTCTCCCCCTCCCGCTGCTTGTGTTCCTGCTCTCGCTATCTCTGTCTCTGTCAAATAAATAAATAAAATCTTTAAAAAAAAAAAATATTTGCTGAAAGTTGGCATTAAATCTCTTTGGTTTCCTCTCTCTATTTCAGCCTATTGAAATCATGGTGGTTATTTTGTATAATGTAAATTAGCTCTCCTTCCTAGCCTTGAGTTTATCACAAATTTGACCAATTTTTCAGTCTTTTAAGTTTTTATCTAAATTTAACCTCCCTTGAAAGATGGTTACGGTTTGAATAGGGAGAAATAGGCTTCTGTGTTGGAAGTGGGGACATACCACGATTGAAAATTATTCAGGGAAACAGCCCAATTTCATGATTTGTCAGGTGTGGTCCCAAGGTGAGTATTGTAAAGGCATTTGGAGGGCAGCTTGTGGAATGCAAGGAGTGGGAAATTTATCCTGTAAATCCCTTGAGGTTTTTGTCTGGTGAGGAATCTGAGGCAGTTAGCTGAAGTTACATGCCTTACCCAAGGTCATTCAATGATGGTGTGACCCAAGAGGGATTAGAATTCACAGTCACAGTGCCTGGAATTCCTCTGCATGACTGGACTCTGCTATGTGATGTTATTTGGGGGCAATAGCAATTAATGTGGTAACAGTATCTCCAGAGAACAAGGGGAGGAACAATGGTAAAGTCAGACTCATCACCTCATAGAATGTTGCAACTGAAAGAAATCTCCAGGACTATCTGGTCCAACACTCTCATTTTACAGAGAAGGAAATTAACATTCGTAGAGATCAAGTGACATATCCAAGATCACATGGCCAACAAGTGGCAGAGCAGAGATGAAGACTTCTGTCTTATGATGCTTGCTTTCCTGCTTTTTCCCTGTATCAGTTCTCCTGAATGTATTTAAAAACATTCTTTCTAGAGTTTTATGACATGAGAGCTGCGGACATTTGGCAAAATTGCAAAATAGACTGCATTCTCTTCTTAGATCCATTGCTTAATTTTCATTTATTTCATTGTCTGGTTTTATCAGAACTCCCTGTATTTCTTTTGAATTCCTAGCAGATATGCTAGGTCAGTGCTTACTTTTATGGCTGGCTTATTAAGCCATCTTTGTGAAATTTGTCTACCCTGTAAAGAGGCTGATGCTTTTGTGGCTCTAGAAACCAATGTTATTACTTTATATTGAAATAATACATATGAAAGTTGGGGAACTATTCCTCATGACTGAACTATCATTATAGAGCATCAATGACATGATAAAAATTGATCTTGGCACAGCACATATGGTGTATCATTTTTATCTTTATAAAAAAAGCAGAGGAAGTCCATGCTACCATGGCAGTTTTATAGATGAGGAAAGTGGAGATCGAGGTCACACAGCTAAAAGCTATACAGCTAGAATTAGAACCCAGGTCCATTTGAATCTAGAACCTTTGATGGATTTCAAAAAAAGGGAATGGGAATTCTGATGGGTTTAGAGATACAAGGAAATAATTTGGAGCCTAAGGCACAGACCACAGAAGACAATGTTGGGAGTGGAGTCATCTGGTTCATCTGCAATGATTGTGAGAGCACTGAATTCTAGGAAAAGCAATCACCACAAATCAAGAGG